AGGCCTGGCATATGTACTACAGCGTCTCCAGCGCTTTCGAGCAGCAATTGCCAGCGGTGGCCCAACCCCACATTCCCCTGATAGGTGGAGAGTTGGACATATAGGCGGAGCACCACTTCTGTGACGTAGAAAATAATTCAAATCTGGATCAGTCTGTATCAGATCCGTTGCAGCTCCGTTTTTAGAGATTTGGGTATGGAGGAAAAGAGAGAGGGTTGTGTTTTCTGACATATGGTGAGTTCCCTGACACACCGGGGACACATTCATGTATAAAAGTGCATTTTGCATGATAGGTCCCCTTTAAGTTAAACTCCTCTTTCTTTAAAAAAGTATATCCCAGTCTTTCCCTCTGCTTTCAGTCCTTCTCTACTGCAAATTGGTCTTTCACCTTATTCCTTGAAAGTAGTCGGATGTATTTGTAGGATTTAAAAATGGATTGAAAGGGCCGATCCGATATGCCGGGAAGATATCTTGTCTTCAAAAATCAATTGCAAGGCAGTACACATACATTGTAAAATCTGAAAAATAATTGAGCATGTCAGAGGGCTATTAAATGTGAGTCTGTTGATCCTCAGATGGAGAGGGAGCAGGTGTCTTCAGCAGGATAAGATCCACACTTGAAACACTTTGATATTTATTGCATTGGGGCCCTGCAATAGATAAAACCGGTTTTAGAGCACCTTTAGCACTTCAGTGTGTTGCTGCTGCTGTTTATTTCTGTTTGGTTTATAAGCTGTTAATAAAATGTCTGAGAAGAAATTGACCTGGTGTAAATGTAATTGAATGCATTTTAAAGACATTTTATTCTTTAAATCCATATTTTTTGGATGACATTTCCTCACTGACAGATTGTTCAACTTTTTGGATGGTAGCCTGTGGCAATATTTGTTATGTAAAGTTAGTTTTCCCTTTGATTTTGTTTATGCCTACAGGTATGTTTGCCTTGGTGGCAGCTCCAGCCCCATGCCATCTGACAGTTCCCATGGCTACCTCTGCCCTGCTGGCCATAGCTGTCCTGTTGGCTCTGCAGTCGAGGTGCCCTGTGAGCCCGGCACCTACAGTCCTGCCCCTGGAGCTGCCTACTGTATAATATGCCCCGAAGGGACCATGTGTTCTTCCTCAGCCACTCGAGAGACCTCAATCTGCCCAGCTGGTGAGGGTGGTGAAATAAACTGTGAATGTAGAGTGTAAATCTGATATCTTACCATTATACATAAAGCAGCAATTTTGGCAACTGGAAGAATGTACAAATCTGCAGTCAAGTAAAAGCAATATTTAATAAGTGCTCTTTTCCTAGGTCATTTTTGTCCTGCGGGGACAGCCCTACCACAGCGCTGCCCTTTAGGGACTTTCAGCAACCAGACAGGTGCATTTTCTCTCTCTGTCTGCACACCATGTCCCTCTGGACTGTACTGTGGCTCACATGGAGCCTCAACACCACAAGGTGACCACACGCAAACATATATCACATTATTTCAGCCTTTTATACACTGTACACACACTCAACCTTGGAATTTGGATTTTGTTTTGTCTAGGTTCTTGTTTGCTGGGTTATTTTTGCCAAGGTGGAGCCATTGAGCCAACCCCACAGAGCTCTGACAAGTTCCCCATGAATGGCCCTTGCCCCGTGGGCCACTACTGTCCATCAGGGTGCCTCTCCCCAGTTCCATGCCCTCTTGGCAGTATTCGCAACACCATCGGTAGACCTACTGTGTACACTACTCACAAAATGGCAGTTCCTTTTCTGTTAGTCACGCCATTGTGTAATTAATGGAATCATTTGATATCCGTATCATCTTTTTAATTAGGAGCTTGCATTTGCATTTGAAAGAGGTCCTAATGGGTTTCTGATGTTTTTTGCTCGTCTGATCTGCATCACTGTTGTCATAGGAGGGGTTTCCATGGAGAGCTGCTCTGCCTGTCCTGTTGGTCACTACTGCTCCACGGAGGGTCTGGCTAACCCCAGTGGCCCCTGTGCTGCTGGTTTCTTCTGCCCTTTTGACTTCTCCTCAACCACTCCATATGCCTTCCTCTGTCCTAAGGTAAGGGTTTTTCATATTGTATTTGATAAACCTCATTCCACTTGCTGGCGTTAGCCCTGTCCAAAAACATTATGTTTTCAGTCTTTCCTTATGATACCATGCACTTGGACTCAAGGATGAACCAGTTAGTTGTCAACTGAAAATGTTTTGCCCATAATTTAAGAATTATTGTCATAATTATGATGATTTTTTTACAAATATCTATAATAGTAAAATTAGTCATAAGTTACGAACATTTTAAATGAAAAACGTTGAAGTTTAATACCAACCCCTTTGTAAATTACATTCTCTCCTAGGGCCACTATTGTCCAGAGGGCTCTGCCCTGGCCTTGCCTTGTCCCACAGGAGAGTACCAGCCAAACCCAGGATCAGATGGCTGCATCCCATGCAGACCTGGGTTCTACTGTGAGGAGGCCATAGTGGGAGAGCCATGGCCCTGCCCACCACACTCGTTCTGCCCTGCAGGTACTCTACGGACATTTTATGACTGAGTGGATAGCAAATTATAAACCATCCTGATCCCCAAATAACACACAAAACGCTTCTCAGACTAAAAACAGCACAATCCTTTTTAGTAATAACATGTAGTAAATCATGCTTTCAGTCAACTGTCTACTTCATTTTCTTTTTCAGGAACAATGGTGCCTCAACCGTGTCCTAATGGCACTTATACTCATTCAAACCAGGGAGGGCTGCAAGAAGAGAGAGAGTGTTTACCCTGCCCTTCAGGGAGGTTCTGCAGGTACACTGAATGCACCACAGCCCATGTGATTGCATGCAGAAGCTCTCAAATTTGCCTCACATTCACATCCATCCTGAAACACAAGTACTGTACACAGACACACTATTAGGCACATGCACATCCTGAACATAGCTTCATACACGCATGCTCAGAGGCAGACATTAATCTCCGCTTTGATTATGCTCCTAATTAGTAGAATGCAGGGCTATATCACGTTCAGCTGTCACGGTTCACTGAACAGCAAAATGAACACCTTAACATGAATGAATATAATGAGCGTATATATGGGAGGTGGAAATGGTAGAATTAATGTAATTATATTTATCTAATGATTGATACATTTAGTTTTCTAAATGTGTGTATGTGTTTCTCTGTGGTTTTGTGAATAAACTAACCATGTGTATATTTTCTTCAGGGCTGGGAGGATCCAGGGTGTGTGTGCCGCTGGCTATCTTTGTGTTTCTGGGAGTGCAGATTTCACCCCTCAGGGACCCGTCTCTAATATGACCCAGTGCCAGTCGGGCATGCAGTGTGCTGGTCCATGTCCGGCAGGTACAGCAATTTTTGAAAGAAAACAACCCAAACCAACAATGGAAATGTATATTTATATACACAGATTTACATAACTAACTCTAAGATTCTCTGAAATGTGAGATTAATTCTCTCATCCCTGCACCTTGGACCGGTTCAAATGTTATTCTTATTTATTGTAATGCTTTCTTTCAGGTTTCTTCTGTCGTGAAGGCACAGAGGAGGCTGAGTTGTGTCCTGCAAACACTTTCAGGGGCTCCCCAGGAGGTGCCAGCCTACAGGACTGCTTACCCTGCCCTCCTCAGTATTGGTGTCAACCTGGTATGAGTTGATAATGTTCTTTATATTTAAATAGTTGGTAATGTGTTTTTTATTTAAAGATACTGTTGTAATGTTTTCAGGGAAAATGCAGGATGCTGTTTATTATTATTAAGGGGCTTAAAGAAGGGTTTAAGATGCTTAGACAGTTAAAAAATGATTTTTAGTTTTTCTTTGGTCTAGATGAGCAGTTTCCTGATGCTTTATAAGTAGCTAATTGCTTGCCTGTTTTCCTGTCGGGGAGTTAATTGAAGTCATTGTTGGTCTCATGTGTAAACTAGAATAAGTAGGTACCAGCAGGATCTTGGCACTGGGACTGAATTAAATACAAAGGATGCAAATTGGAAAGACTTAAGAGAGCCCTGCCTTTAGAGTTGTTACTGAGCTTGAGATCATGAAGGGTTAACAGGGATAGAATGTAGCCAGGGGGAAATGTGTGAGTATTCAATAAACTATTGAAATATATTCCTCAACTGATAAGTACAGTGTAATAAATAAAATACTCTTAACCATAAAAATATCTGAAACCTATTTCTTTCTTACATTTTAGCATTCATATGTTTGTATTGCAGGAGACCCAGTCCTTCATCCGTGTCCTGCTGGTCTTTACTGTGATGGTCTGTCTGGCAGTGACTTCAATGGAGGGACGGGGCCCAGGCTGTGTCCGTTGTACACATATCGAGCCCACCCCGGGGCAGGCAGCAAGGGGGACTGCCTGGCCTGCCCGCCAGGTTCACACTGTAACAGCACAGGTCTGACACACTGCATTGATATGACAACAAACACCAATTAAAACTAAACTGTTACAGATTCCTTTGAAATGCAAATCAAACCGATTGCTTAATTTCCCCCCGTTTTATTCAACGACACCCTGTGCCTGATGTATGATTGGGTGTAAAATATTCTCTACTAGTAATTTCTCTAGTGAGTTTGAATTTACATTTGTAAGGCCAGATCAAAGAGAATGACCTTTTTTAGGTTGTATTTATTTCAGTTTGTACGTACATTAATATACCAGTGCATGAGCCGTGCCTGAGATAAGAGGCGAGGAGGTATAATGTGAACAGTCGATTTAAAACTTGAGGCTATGGTAATTTACCATAGCCTCAAGTTTTAAATCGACTGTTCACATTATACCTCCTCGCCTCTTATCTCAGGCACGGCTCATGCACTGGTATATTAATGTACGTACANAATACCTGTACTTTCTACTTCTTACATGTTGAACTCAAATACCTGTACTTTCTACTTCTTACATGTTGAACACAAATACCTGTACTTTATGACTTTTTACTTTGACTTCTTACATTTTGAACCCAAATACCTGTACTTTATACTTCTTACATGTTGAAAACAAATACCTGTACTTTCTACTTCTCACATGTTGAACTCAAATACCTGTACTTTCTACTTCTTACATGTTGAACTCAAATACCTGTACTTTCTACTTCTTACATGTTGAACNAATGCAAATCAAACCGATTGCTTAATTTCCCCCCGTTTTATTCAACGACACCCTGTGCCTGATGTATGATTGGGTGTAAAATATTCTCTACTAGTAATTTCTCTAGTGAGTTTGAATTTACATTTGTAAGGCCAGATCAAAGAGAATGACCTTTTTTAGTGCATGAGCCGTGCCTGAGATAAGAGGCGAGGAGGTATAATGTGAACAGTCGATTTAAAACTTGAGGCTATGGTAATTACATTGAGTTTTGGATTTATAAAAGGAAACACTTTTTCTAATCTCTCTTTATCTCTTCCTCAAACATAATTGAAAATATTTCAAAGTGAAGTCATATTGTTACAGTAGTGGTTGATTCCTCGGACATGGTGACCCCACCTCTTCTCCCTCTGGTTCATTTTTATGCTAATATATTTATATTTCTGTCAGAGTGTCTAAAGTGATGAATAGGGCTTTCAGAAAGCTGTTATTTTCCAGGGCTTACAGACTCCTCCAACAGTCCCTGCCCACCTGGTTTTTGGTGCAGTGGATCCGGACCCCCCATCCTCTGCCCCGCGGGCACTAAGAGGGCCCTTCCTGGAGCCACTGCACCCAGCCAGTGTGAACTGTGTGCGGGGGGAACCTTCTGCCCAGACCCTCGGGCTACAGGGAAGCCCAATGTGGAGGGGATTCCCTGCAGAGCCGCTTATCAATGTCCCATGGGTAAGGTTATCGATACAGTGTATAATGTTAGTTTGGTATATTGGATTCTGTATGAAAAAACTCTGAGTCTAATGCCTCCCTCCCTGACGCCATTTATGAGGTTTTGCAGTAATGAGTATCTGCTCATAATTTAGGTGCAGTAACAGAGAGGCTGTGCAGAGCTGGCTCATATTGTGGACCTCAGACTGCTGAGCCTGAAGTCTGTCCTGAAGGGTATTTGTGTCCTCAAGGATCTCATTCCTACCAAACCCCAAAGCAACTGTGAGTGCATGTAATGTCTAATATTGCAATACCTGGATTGCAAACTCATGATGTACATTGTGTATTTCTTATTACTACAAAGCTGTGAATGCTATTGTGATGAGGCCAATTCCTAAAGTATTGCATCTTGAATCATCTTGAATCATACATTACTTAGAATATATCAAACAAAGTTTTGGAAGTAGAAGGATTGTTTATGGACATATCTCACCAAATGTTGTGCAGAGAACATTTATTGGCCTTCAGGTAATGTTATAAATGCGAGAGGTACTCTCTAGAGACAGTGTTTGGTTTGTCCCTTCTGGGCTACTGTAGAAACACAAAATGCTAAATAGTGGACTCCAAGGAAAAGAAGACTTTCCCCGTTTAGATAGAAAGGGGCTCATCTAAGCTAAACAACAACACAATGATTTGTTGTTTCAGGTGATTATGCAAAAAGAGTATGTTATGAATAGTTGTGAATAATATATATATATATATATATA